GCAATCAAATTGTAGGACTACTTGATGGATGGTTACATGTGTGAAGTGGTTTAACCATGTGTAATGGTGAAACGGTTAATTGTATAATATGTGAATATAGGTGTTTGAATGTCCAACATTACTGGTATGAAGATATTATAGAGCCTTGGTACAAATATGCTAATTAGGAAAGCAGTGCTCAGACCGGACATTGCTGGGAATTAGTAGACACTCAACTTGAGGTTGGGAATCTGTTATTTGAGTTTTTTTATATTGCGGTATTTGTTGTAATTGTGGTTTAAGTCTCGGAATTCCGACGTTGCTGTCCTGTGAGATATTTTGTGCTACTATTAAAGCATTTAATGCTAACAAAATTAGAGGAACATTATGTTGGTCCACGGGGAATGTGTCAAAGTGGCAAATCACTTAACCTTTTCACTACCTTTGGCTTTATTTGTAACCTTCCATATGAAGTCGTTCTACCATTACCTGTCTTTCTCCATTTTGGGACAAAATCATTAAAATTGTTTCAGGGAAATCTGTAAAACAGAATATATATAAAACTTGTGTTAGATGAATTTATATATTTGATCAAATCTCTGAGCCTCCAAGAGTTGATGTTAATCCCTGTCAACATACAAGTAGGGTGTACTACAATAGAGATGTTTTTAATGATTTTCTACAAAGCCATTATGGTTGCTACAAAGCTGCAGTTTGTGTGTGTGCTAGGTATAGATGCTGGTTCGTGGGCACTTGGGAGTGAATTTTTTTTTTTTTTGCTTTTTATTCAAACAGTCATGGCTACAGACTGTTAAAATTTCACAGCATGGTGAATAGTGGAACATACCCAAAAGACTATTTTAAAATATAGAAAACAGGTACAAACATTCTCTGACTGAACATTGCACCAATGGTCAGATCAGAAAAACTGGTCAAGGTATCCCTGGCACACCTAATTCATGTACATATCATCATAGACCACTTGTTGTGTTCTCTGTTCCAATCATTTAATTACAGCTAATTTTATAGTGTTACCAACAACACTGACGACTTGAAGATTTGAAGATCCATGGTGTGATCAAAGGTGTTTCACTGCCAGAAAAGAAATGCCTGTTTTTTGAAAATTGAGGAGAATGTTGTATTGTTAATACTAATCAAACTGCCCAACAGTCTCTGTGAGTTGTTTGTTTTTGGTTAAAGTGAACAGTTTTTTTAATAATGTTTTTAACAAGACTTTTAAGGAAAAAGTTAGTTACCAGAAAAATATACATAGAAAATTGAAGTTGGGTCAAAACTGTGTAGTTACTATGGTGATTCATTTAAAACAAATTATTTTTTTGTATGACGCTACATGGAAAATGAGAAAAATTAGTGAGAACAAGTTCCTTGTCTGCTGATTATCTGTGAAAAATAGTTTTTTGTTTAAAAAACGGTAATCTTCAGTGCTTCATGCATAAAGTGGAACTTTTTTTCAGAAAAAAACATTTCTCTTTTCGTACACAAGTTCTTTAATACCTAAACTATATTATGAGCTTATTTACTTATTTACTAAGAACATAATAATATTTTTTTTACATCAGGCAACAGTTCTAGACATTGAATGTCACTGTTGTCCTTCCTTTCCCTTATATGTTCAAATGCAAAGTGCTCTGGACTATATGACATGGTTGTGAGACTAACTTTTTATCATAATGGCAGTCATGGCACTTGTAGTGGTTGGTTATTCACCGAAAACTGATCAACAGATAAACATTTTAAACCTGATCAATAAAAACAAAAGGATTATATAATGAGTGATAGAGGGCACTATATTTGTACTTACAGTTGAATTGTAAATAGTGAATTATTGTAAATTTGCTGATTTGACCTAGGGTCAAATTAGTGTTTTAACAAATATTTTACTGGTACATGGAATGTAGGTATACATAATATAATATACTGTAAAATGACTAACATTCACTGGGTTTAAATTTCGCTGATTTACAATTTCAGGCATATTTTATGGGTTTTATCATTTAGATAATGTGTTCCATGCTAAATTTTACATATTCACTGAGTTATAATTTAGCGCATTTTCCAGTCAGCGAAATAAGCAAAATTAAAACCCAGTGAATTAATTAATCCTATCACAGTATTATATTTTTAAATGTATTGTAATTTTTAAAACAATTTGACCAATCACAACATTTTTCTTGAATGGCAGTGAATCAGGCAAAGATTAAGGAACCCCTCAAAGACTCATGGGTAATGAACGATATCAAAAGGCTGCTGGAGTCTATAGTTCCTAAATTCCAATGAAGCTTGAGGGTGTTCCAGAGTAAACTTTTTGACTCCCATGTGCGAAGCACAAAATGGGAGTCTTTGCAGTTAGTGTGTCTGTATGTGTGTATGTGTGTATGTGTGTATGTATGTGTGTCCGACTGTTCCACTGCTATCTCAAGAACCATACATCGGTTTTTGATGAAACTTGGTGCATAGATGCTCTGGGCCAATGCGCAGATTTGATTAGGTTTTGGTAAAAATCCATGCTCGTTAATTACCTAATTTGCATGATAATTAGCTAATTTTTAGCTGTTCTATGACTGTTCCACTGATATCTAAAGAACCACTCATTGGATTTTGATGAAACTTGGTACATAGATGCTCTGAACATATGCGCAGATTTGATTAATTTTTGGTAAAAATCCGTGCATATTAATTACCTAATTTACATGATAATTAGCTATTTTTTAGTGGTTCCATGACTGTTCCACTGATATCTAAACAACCACTCATTGGATTTTGATGAAACTTGGTACATAGATGCTCTGAACTAATGCTAGGTTTTGATTAGTTTTTGGTAATAATCCGTGGATACTAATTACCTAATTTGCATAATGATTAGTCAATTTTCGGTTTTTCCACTGATATCTCAAGTACTAATCATCACATTTCAAATGAAACTTGGTACATAGA